AAATCAATTTTCATTTTATTTGTAAAAGGTAACTTTGTAAATCGATCGTTTTAATTTAATTTTAAATATAAAAAAAAAAAAAAAAAAATTTACCTGTAAAAAAATAATTTAAGAAAAAAAAAAAATGTGCGTGCGTGCGTGCGTGCGTGCGTGCGCGTGTCGTCGTTAAAATTAATTTAATTTATTTATTATTTAATAATTTGTTCGATGGGTACTTTTTTACTTAATAAAATACTCACCATTATAATTATTATCGGCATCGGTAAATAACGATTGGTCCTCATCGGGATTCTGTCTCAAATACATTTCACCCTCTTCTCCGCTAAATATTTTAAATCCGTTCGGTATGGTCGTGTTCCATTTCCATTTACATTTATTATCATCTTCAAAATCGCAATCTATGTTTTGATAATAATTTTGACCGTGAGAATATTCGATAAAAATAATTATAAATAAAAAAATAATAAATGATAAATCTACCGACGTCATCATCATCATCATTATTATTATTATTATACGAATACGCGATTTTTATTTATTTATTTATTTATAAAAATCATTTGTTATTTAAATTAAAAAATTGTATTTTTATAAATAATAATAATAATAATAATAATGGGGAAAAATGTGAAAATTTTTTTATCATACGTTTATGTACGGCCATTATGAATTTTCTTTTTTTTTTTTTTATTTAATTTATTATTATTATTATTAATTTTTTAAAAAATTATTTAAATAATACTAAGAAGGTATAAACATAATTTATAATGTAATTATATGCCACAAAACTTTTCACTGTTTTTACTTTTCCTCCATTGCATCCCGGTTTCGCGCAGAGAAGGGTTGGTCCATTTCTTTTTTTTTTTTTTTTTTTTTACAAAATAACAGATATCACTAAAACCATTTTATTCATTTCACAGCATAATTCGATCAATGTATTATAAAAAACCACCCCTATTATTTTACCGCGTTTTTTAAATTTAAACTTAATTAATGTATATTATTTAAACTTTGTTTATTTTAATTAATTATTTTTTTCTTACATAAATTTATTTATTATTCGTAGAGATAAACCGCGAATTTCATTTTGTCACATATATGTATATATATATATATATGAAGATGCGATCCATATCTCTACTGTACATTATTCTTTGAGTTTTTACTCCCTGGGGTTTGAAGAGCTGCCAAAGCTCTACGATTACAGCGCTCCTATCGGGATGCTGGAAATTTACATCACTACGCGAAACAACACCCCCGTAAAAAAAAAAAAAAAAAAGTCTATGTTTTCGTACCAATTTGTTTAATGCTGCTGTTTTTTTTCTTTTTTTCGAAAGTGAAATTCGTTTCCAAACGACATCGTGACCTTCCAAAAAAAAAAAAAAAAATTATTTTTCTCGAATGTTTACAACAAAAACGACGACAGATTTTTAAGAAATGCGTGGGTGGGAAAAAAAAAATAATTGCAATTAAAATACGAATAAATTTATTTATTTAGTTTCCCCCTATCTCCCTCCCCTCACTTAATAAATGATAAAAAATTTTTTTTTTTTTTGAGGTTTAATTTGGAAGAAATTATTATTATTATTATTATTATTATTATTACGTTCCGTAGGAAAATTTTGGGGTAAACAATTTAAAATTAACTTTTTTTTTAATAATAACAATAATGAGATAAAGTTCATTCAAAATTTTATATATTTAAATAAAATTATTATTTGTCAATAAAATAATTGTTCACTCAATTGTATAATTCAATTAGTTACGTTAATTTTTTTTTTAGATAAATAAGAATTAATCAATTTTCTATTATTAATTTAATATTCGGTTTCCGTAAACACGAGAGTTCGCATAATTATTTTGTTTAACGTTTTTTATTATTATTATTATTATTTTCTTCCCCCCCCCATTTTTTTATATTTAATATTTAATAATTTGACGTATAAAAATTACGTAAGGAGCGAGTTACGTAATTGAAATTATTAACTTATGTGCGACGTATATAACGAACGAATTTTAATTTACCATAATTTTTTTTTTTAATGATAATTTCAAAATGGCGCCTTTGTTTCCCACAATAATAATAATAATTATTTTTTTCTTATACATAAATCAAATGCGATAATGTTTTGAAAATAAAATTCGAACAAAAAAATTTGGCGCGAAAAGTTTTTTTCATGTCGTTTTTTTTTTCTTCTTCCCAAATTTAAGTTGGCAGCTTTTATTAAGATAATTTTGCGCGGGATCGTATAATGGCGGTACGTTTAGATTTTTCTAACGTGAAAGAAAATGATAATTTAGATGATGTCAAAGTTCATTTAATGCCTTGCGTTATAAAAAAAACAGGAGAAGCTAATGTTTCAACATATTTCGAACCGATAATTAGTAAAGATGAAAAAAATGGCGGAGGTAACGTATAAATCACACTTCAACTGACAATTGTACATAAGGTTAAAATTAATAATTTCAATAAGTAATTTTGACAAACTCATTTCAATGTAATTGTACTTACACGTTTATAATCAAAAAATTACTTTTTTTTTTAAATAAATTAAGTTAATTCAAAAATAACATTGTAAACTTTTTCTTTTTTTTTTTTTTGCAGTGTTAAAAACTTCTTTTCGAGGGTATCCATTATTGGGAAAAGAAATAACACTTCCAGAAGATTACTGTGGTGTCATATTAAAAGATCAATGTGTTGAAACAAATGAAAAAAGTATTTATAGTTCTCAAACATTCGACAAATTAACATATTGGAATTGGGATATTGAACCATCGAATAATGATAAAATTCCTTCTGCTATGGAATGGCTACATGTTGCTAAAGTGGTGAGACAAAATTATGTTAATAAAAAGCGATTAGAATAATTTGACTTTGCACTCCAATTACATATATTATTAATTTTTTATGTGAGATTCAAATTAACTTTATTATTATTATTTTTCAGTTGCATTCACCAATCGACTCTTCGATAACTTCACAAAATCAAAATTAATCTCATCTTCGATTCACCACACGATTATGAATCATCTCATCGATAAAGGTAAGGTAATAATAATAATAATAACTATTTATTAATTTAAAGAAAATTTTTTTATTAAAAAAAAAAAAATAGTAGGAACTACTACATAATATGAAATAAAATAATTGATAATAAATAATTATTTATTTTCAATTGTTTTGAAACAATATGCTTCAATTGTATAAAATAATTTTTTTTAATTTAAACATGAAAGTAATTATTTATCGAAAAAATAATAATAATAATAATAATAATAAATACAATAATTATTAATTAAAAAACATTTAAACATATATAAGTATATAATAAGCTGAAAAAGACCATCACGCTCACATGCACAGTCTTTAATAATCATATCACTCGTTAAAAATAAAAAATTAAATAATACAATTATAAAAATATCATAAATAAATTGGTCTTTAATGTTTATTATTATTATTATTATTATTATTATACAAATATTTTTTTTAAAAAAATTTACAATACTTTGGCATTTAGCACACTACTATTTCAATAATTTAAATTTTTTTTTTTTTTTTTTTTAATTTAATAACATTTTAATTAAAAAAATTTGATGTGAATCATATTGTTTTAAATTATGTGGTAGGAATCGTTTGGAATGTTTTTTTCTTTAATTTTATGTATTTTATTAATATTATTTTTTTAAAAAAAAAAAGTTGTATGTGCTACCGTAATAAGTTTTTTATATATATATATAAGTTTTAAATTTTAATGTGCGCGCATGAAAAGAAAATTTCGTATTGTTCTTTCAACTTGAACACAAGAAAAAAAAAAAACAAAATGGAAACTAATTCTTGAAATACTTTTGTACGTTGATATTGAAAATAATAACGAAAGGAAGACTCAAGTCGTAGCACAAATTAAACGTAAAAAAAAAAAAAAAAATTTACGTGGCAGTGAGACGTACTGTTTGTTATAAATTTAACAAAATGGAATTATTTTTCTAACCGGAACTTGTGTAACGTAAATAAAAATTCGAATGTGTTAAATGAATATTTAATTAGTCGCTGGCATTCGGATTTTCGATAATATTATTGACGTCCACGTTCGTCGTCAAATTTCTCGCGTGTTTTTTATTTTGATCCTGTTGTTTAATATACGCGCTTAACCGATCGAGTAAAAATTGTTTGTCGTGACCTTCTAGAACCAATTGATTTTTAAGTACAATTATCATGTGCTTGTTGGCTTCCGAGAGGGCGTAAAAATAATAAAGGAACAAAGCTAATATGAAAAAAGCCGGCACGGCAAAAGCAGCAGTGGAAAAGTAGAAAACGATATTTTTCAATTCTTTCGGCAAAGTGTTGAATGCCGTTATGACGACGCCCCAAACTATTTCTTCACCTCGGAAAGGACCGCAAGCCAGGGATGGTTTAGTTTCGGCAATGCTCAAAGCAACGGGAATGATGGCGACAACGAACGATATAAGGAGAATGGACATGAATAGAAATTTGGCTCGTGAAGCGAGATAAACTTTTGTCGCCGTTCTACTATTGACCATGCAAGCAAATTTTTTTATGTAAAATATTAAAAATAAATAAATGGCCGCGAGTCCGGGGAGTACCGGAGAAAAATATGTTCCCAGCCAACATATTGTTTGCGTGTAAACAACATCCAAAACGTGTTTGGGCAAATCGAATTCTTGCTCCCCGAGAAATTTCGTTATTTTATTTTTAAAATGTTTCGCCAACAACATTCTTGGAAAATTTAAAAAAAAAGTTATTAAAAAATGCGCAACGAAATCGAGTAAAATCAATCTGTAAAATTGTTGGCCGGCATACGTTTCCCAGCAAAATGTTGTTTTACCTTCGCCCAAATAACACGTTTCGTGGTCGGAATTCCTTGGGATCACGTCGTAAATTGACACCAGCAAGACAACCAAAGACGCAAGTCGTAGAAAAATAGTTCTCATCAATGTGACGTGTATTACAAAAATGACCGTGTACTTTTCCCATTTCACCAAATACCTGAAAACGATGGAAAATTTTAAAATCGAACAAACACGGGAAGGAAATGAACGGATGGAACGCCATATTGAAAAAAATTTAAATAAAAATTTACCCGAATATAGTCGGCACTACAGAATTCAATCCTACTACGGCTAAAGAAGGCAAATATTGCAATATTAAGTTCATTATTCCTTGTGGTACTAAATCATATCTAGCCTCCTTACGAGCATCGCTTTGAAATTTCACAGCAAAATATATGAGCCATCCAGCTCCCGCTAGCAATAACAACACCGTTATATTAATGAGAATTCTTAGAAAAATAATTTTCACTTTATTTTCATTTGATCTTAGTATCTTGTCTTCTTTTTGCTTTTCCGCCATCAATCTGTATTTGATTTCATTGTACAAAGCTTTGTGTTTCATATTGGCTGATTTTTCATTGTAAATGCAAAAGTCCCAACCGCTAAAAATCAAACTGCAAAATTGATTGAACTGACCCTCTCCTTCGACCAAACGTCCTCTGAACGCTTGAGCTGCCGATTTAACAATGGCTGCCAAACTTAGAATGAATATAAATATTGTGACTAAAACATATGCGAATGAAAGATTGTAATAATACAAATATTCCGGAACTGTGTATATGGAACAGTCGTATTTTCCATAGAACAAATATGTATTCTCTATCGCTCCGGTTCCTTGTATAATATCTAAAATCCCTATGTCTCTAGAACTAATTGCCTTGGTATAATTATTGGAGCATTCATTTACTAAACTAATATTCCTACATGTTAATATAGGTTTTTCACTTTCAATACTCGGAGTGTTCTGAAGTATTTCGGAAAGTAATGTCGGAAGTACGACAAATGTAAACATTAATATAAAAATAACTATGTTCAAGTACATTAACCACTTTATGAATCTGAAAAATGAAACCACGCCTGTTCCATAATTTCCCTCGATTTCTCTCAGACTTTTTTTCCACATTTCAAATTTTGAATATGTTTCTTTCCATTGTGACTGCATTTGATTATACATTTTTCTTCTCTGCCATTTAAATTGTTCGAAACCTTGCAGTCTTAACTTTGTGGCATTTTGCAATTTGGCTTTCTGTTCTTTTTTTTGAGTCATGCTAATTGGTAAGTCTTTGATTTTCATTATTTCCTCCCACGTCGTTCTTTCATTTGATAAATTTTCCGATAGATCAGGCATCATGGCAATGTAGTTTTCTTGAAGAACAGACTGTCTTCTTGAGGTAGTGTAGTAATTGGTTCTCGAAATGGTTCTTTGCTTAATAGTATTCCTATTTTTAATATCTTTCGTATTGTTTTTCTTTCCAGTAGTCGTCACTCGGTTTTGTTGGCTTGGCAAAAGAGTCGTTATCTTTTGTGGATCCCTTTCGATACCCTCGAAATCAGCATCCGTGGTGGGATAACTTTCCTGATAAAATTCATCCTTTGCTTCTTCCCATCCTTCCGCTCTTCCCGGACGTTTCTTTTTATCTCCGGACATTTTCCCTTTCTAAAAATTTCTTTTAAGTAATCACATAAACAAAACAAAACAAATTAAAAACCTTTTTTTTTTTTTTTTGCCTTCTTCATTGCAATTAAATAAATACTTACTAAACTTTCTTTTATAATAATTTACATAATGAACTGTTTGACGTTTTTATAATTTTAACTTTAGACAAGTAAAAATTGATTTTATCAAAATTTCTATTGGATAATATACGAAAACAAACACATTGAAGCAGAAGATGGTCGTAGTCGTAATCGTCGTCGTCGTCGTCGTCCATTTAGGGCGTTGATTTTTATTACTCTATGAACTTGGAATCGAAGGCGGAAAAAAAACCGCCATGGGATTAATTTTAAAAAATCGAACGTTCAATTTTGTGAACTGAAAATAAAGTTTTTCGTCGCGAATTTAAAATATAATTTTGATCGTTTAATTAAATTTATAATTAATTTGATATAATAATAATAATAATAATAATGTCGGAAAATAAAAAAATATTAAAATTTTCTTTTTATCCCGGGGGGAAAAACAATTTTCCAAAGTTTTCTTTTTATTTTTCGTAAAAAAAAAAAAAAAAAAAAAAAAAAAAAATAGATCAATTTTTTAATTTTATTATATTATTAACCCAAAAAATAAAAATAAATTGACAAAAAAAAGAAAAGCGAAATCGTTTTCGAAAAGAAAATTTTTTTTTTTTTTAGTTCAAGTGTACACCTCGTCAAGTTCGGTCCATTTTTTTTTTTTTTTTTTTTTTTTATATAAATGTTTTTCATTTATTATAAGTTATGGTTTTTTAATTAAGGTTTTTTTTTTTCGCGTCGCCATAATAATAATAATAAAATGCCTTATACATTTAACTTACCTTCTTTCATTCCTATTTCTAATTTAGACGAATACGGACGAAACCTTTTGAGAAAGTGCGTTGATTTTAAAACCTTTTTCACGTTTATTTTTTAAATTATTAATAATTAATTAATTATATTTACAGGGGTTTCGGTGGTTTACCTGGTTTCGATGGAAGAAGGAGATCCTCAAGGAGAGGAAACAGCATAATCGATCAATTATTTCCTACTCATTTCGGTGGTGGTCCGACAAATGATTTCGGAGATCCCGGATTACCGACGAGCGATTACGGAAGACCTGGAAGACCCATAAATCATTATGGCGGTCCGAGTAGATATCCTTATAATGATCCTTGGGATCGAAGAGGAAGCGGTGGTGGTGGTGGTAGCAGCATCCGTGGAAGTATTGGAGGAGGTGGTGGTGGTGGTAGCATACGAGGAGGAAGTATGGGAAGTGGGGGTCGAAATAGCACGAAAGGTTCAATTTCAAGTTTACCCAAATTTAAAGAATCTGTCGGATCTACGCATATGATATATCGGGTAAGTCATTTTAAAAAATTTTCTTTTTATGCATGATTTTTCTCCCTTTCCATCTCGAGAGAATCGTTTTTGATTCAAATTTCGGTCCATTTTTTTCAATTTTGATCAAGTTTTGACAAAATTTTCACGAAACGCACATCCGGTGTCACAAAAATTTCGTTTTATTTTTATTTATTTTCGTTTCGCAATTTTCTTAATCAGTTTTCCCAGCGTGAATAATAATAATAATAAATTAAGTGTGGAAAAAATTTGCGATTCGATTTAGTTCGAATAATGATCCGAAAATAATTTTTTTTTTTTAATCGGGTAGAAAATTTATAGAAATGTTTAAAAATCGATGACAAAAACAACCGCGATGGCTTCTTCTTTATTTCTTTAATAATAATAATAATAATTGTTTGTAAATGAATTACATTTGCTCCTGTTTTCTTCTGCTCTAAATAAAACGCACTCGTTCAATTCAGGCTTTTGATAGTAATAATACTAATATTGTCGTAATCATTATTTTTTTTTTTTTCATTTTATTAAATCATAATTGAAAAATTGATTACGGAGCAAATAATAAACTGTGTCATAATAGAATTTAAAAAAATCGAATTTTGTAACGTCAGACATTTTTTTTTTTTTTTTGAACTATTCTTTTGTGTTACGGCCATGAAAATTTTCGCGATTGTTTACCATTGAAGGAAATTTGTTAAAATTGTTAGAAAAAAGTAAAGAATACGATGAAATGAGATTGGATAGTTTAAAGATGAAATTGCGATTGGATTGAATGAACGGTGTGTGCGTGTGCGTGTGCGTGTGTGCGTGTGTTGGAAGAGAAAATTTGAGTTATTGGGGAAAAAATTTTTAAATCGAAAGGAAATTTACCGTTGAAAAATGATATTCGTATGGGCACGACATTATTCGTCAAATAATTTTTTTATTGCGATAGGTTGGCACCAATGCGTTACGCACATAAGGAAATAATTAAAATTTTATCTCTATATCGTTCGAAAGGTTTGATTTTTGTTTGTTTGTTTGTTTGTTTATCATTTATAATATTTATCGTTATCATTAAATTAATTTTACAAACGGTAAATCTGTGTGATAATATTACGTTTGTTGTTTGTTTGTTTGTTTGTTTGTTTGTTTTTAACACAGTCATGTTTCGGTGTAGAAAAGAAAGGGATGAAATAATCGTGAGAGAACCTTTATTATCAAAAATACCTAAATATGAAATACAGGTATTGTGACAGGTTTATCCTTTTTTTTTAAATATTGATTATTATTTTTTGGTTGTTGTAAATAAAATCAACGGATTAAATCGTGTATTGGGGGGGGGGATTAATAATAATAATTTTACACGTAAACAAAAAATTTACCGCGCACACACACACACACATTACTGATAACAACAACGGTTTAGAAATTTGCTTAAGTTTATCAGTCGAATTTATTAATTTGAAAAAAAAATTTTTTTTTTGGATTTTAAAATGTTAGTTGTGGTGTATTATCACGGAGGCTTTGTTTATTGTGTTGCAAAGGTGATCCATGTATTAAATTTTCATTTTTTTTTTCCAACGTGTTTTGTCATTCATACATTAAAAATTTATATAATTTTTTTTTTTGTTAATTTTTCGTCCGTGTGTCATTTTTAGATCAGTTCCCTGCCAGTTTTTTTTTTGATGTTGTTTTTGTTTTTTTTTTTTTTTTTTTTTTTATTTTGGCTGTCGTCCACCTGGCACCTGGGTTCGAATCAAAAATCTTTTATAACCGAATACATTTTACTTTTAATTTAAAAAAAATAAATTAAAAAACTTAATAATAACAATTTTACGTGTTCAGTTGAACGCACCTACGCGTCCTTATCATTTATAAACACGTGTATGTGCACTTTTGCGGTTTGATAAAAGTTGGAGGTTTTTTTTGTTTTGACAAAATTATTACAGGTTTTCAGGTACGATCCTTTTTTAAAAAAAAAATTATTTATTCGAATTCAATGAATCGCAATTAAATAAATATCGATGAAATATTTTTATTTTTATTAATTGCAATTTTTGGGTTATGCAACTTGCAAAACATCCGAGCATGTGAAAAAGCATGGTTGGTAAAAAACGTTCGTTTTCCTAGTCAATTTCAAGGTCAATTTCTTTAGGTCGTCGTTTTTTGTTTTTTTTTTGCGAGTTCATCGTCATCTTTAAAATTCACCGAGTAACAAATGTCACAATGGGAATGCGATAATTTTTTATTTACATTATGTAATGCGTGACAATGCTCATTGATATTATTAATAATGGGAAAAATTTAATTAAGTAAATGGAAAATTCGTCATTAACCCAACTACGAAGAAAAAATATGAAATTTTTTTTTTTTTTTTTTATTACAAGTTTGGAGTGTTTGTTACCGTCCGTTAATTTTTTTTAACGGTTTTCGACGATTTTCGCGTTTCTAATACAAAAAATCATAATTTCTTCTCTTCATCATTATTTAATTATCATCTCGCGTTTATTATTAATTGTAAATTTATATATAAAAAATATATTTAAAAAAAAAAAAATTAGAACAAAATAATAACCCACATGTCAGTTAAGGTCATCATACGAACTTGCGTAATAAAACATTGTCGGACTTTACAACGACTCTTACGGAATTCGAAAGTGTCTTTTTTCTCATGTAACAAATAAAAAGAATCTCATGTTTCGCTTATGGAACTTTACACGTGGTAACACGTAAAACTCGTCCTTACTGCTTTTGAAAAGGGAATCGTTAAGGTCGAAATTCCAGGGAAACGAAATGCTCGTTTTTAATTGGTCGAAAATGGTAATGTGCGATTGTTATTCACGGGAAACAGGGTCTAATAAACTTTTACGTTGCTCTCCGGGCGTGCCGGGATGGTTTTAACGTTCAGATAAATATGTACGATGTATTTTAAATGCCGGAACGTTACAGATGATCGTACGTATTTCCTCCATATTGTTTTTTTTTTTTTTAAATTATTAATTATCCGTTCGTGTAAATAATTTTTTCTATTACGTTTATTTATTTTTCATACGTGCGTGTTTCGTAACGGTTTTATTATAAATTTATACGTATGCTTTATAATATTTATGCAATTCCACATTCAACAGTTTATAAAAAAAAGTGGTATAATAATTTTTTAATCATTTAAGGCAAAAACAAGAAATTAAAAGTTGACGACCGTGAATTTTAATTCTGGTATTAATTTTTTTCATTTGTTTAAAAAAAAAACACGCACACGCACGCACGCACACACGCACGCACACATCTCGATTCATTTCGTATCTTTTTATTTTTATAATAATAATAATAAAAAGTGATCGCGTCGTCGTTAATTGTATTACATATTATACAATTATTATTATTATTATTAGGCAATATTTATTTATGTGCGTGAGTGCGTGAGTGCGTGCATACGCGCGTGTGTGTGATTTTGTCGCAGTGTTTTCACCTGTGTGATTTTTTTTTTATTATTGTTTGTTTCCGCTAGATAAAAAAAAAAGTAATAAACGAAGTAATTAAATAGAAAAATAAAATGGGTTACGGTTACGATGATGATGATGACGACGATTCTTATTACACGCGTAGAAATGGATATTTACATCGAAACGAAGAAGATGACGAATTTACTAAAAGCGTGGCAAAGATAAAAAATATATTACCATCGATATTTCGTCTCAAACAGGTATTTTTTTTAAAAAAATAATTATTATTATTTTTTCTCGAAAAACCGCCATTTTGCTTGTTTGAAAATTTGCGGTTACGAAATTTACGGGTATGGTCATACGTCGCGTTTATATTTTTAAAAGATTGCGTTAGGAGGTACAAACGACAACAGACAACAACCGTGAAAAAACACGATCGCGTTTGTTTTACTTATTAAGGTCGATTATTATTATTATTATCGTTCCGTTTGTTTTGTTTGTTGGAGTTTTTTGCACGAATGTTGTTGTTGTTGTTGTTGTTGTAGAAATGCTTACTCTTTTTTTTTTTTTTTCTTCAATAGAAAATGAGCAAACGTTCGATGAATTGATTGATATTCATCAATTATTATTAAGTTTGATCGATTTGTTGTCGTCATTAAATCGTCTCGTTCCATTGTTGTTGTTTTTCCCCCCATTATGTTCTAGATAATTCCATTACAATGTCGATAATATCAAGCTGAGCCTATAAATTCAATAAAAAAATCGAGAGAGAAAATGAAAACATAATGATGATGATGTGTGTGTGTGTGCGTTTACGTGCGTTTAATAGAAAATAATAATAATAATAATATTTACAAATGGTGATATCGAAACGTTTTAACATGATAAGCTTTTGACTGATTTTAAAAAAACCTTCAACTGGAAAAATTTTAAACGTTTCCCGTTTTTTTTTTTTTTTTTTGTTAAAAGTTGAATTCCTTCGTTTTGTATTCGATTCATTAAAAACATTTTCATGGCGCCATAGAATCGGATGACCATTAAATAGAAAAAAAAATTTCTATTATTAATGTTGTCAGGGTCGTGGCAAGAATTTTCAAAAAGTTTAAAAATTAATCAAAGTAATTATATTTGTTTATAAATTTTATTTATAAATTTTCGATACGGTTCTGATCGGTTTTGAGTTTTCTTCTGCTTTTGTCAAAATTTAAATTAAGGTTGCCACGAAATGCAAATGGTTGAAAACGCGTTTTTCTTTCATGTAAAGGTTTTCCACATATATAAATGGAAGCCGTGTAAATTTGGTTCCTTTCCGTCGTCTGCTAGCTTTAAATTTAAAGTTTCTCATTATTATTTTATCCTCAAAGTTCTGGAATAATAATATTGTAGTTGGAATAATTCCAACAAAAAAAAAAAAAAAATGTCGACGACTGCAGTGAAAAGAAATTTTTTGTTGCAGTCGATTTTTTTTGTTTTCATTTTTCAATTTAATTACCGCCATTTTTTAAAATTTTCTTTAAAAAAAAAATATCTCGAGCGAATTCTGTCTGTATCATTTTTAACGAGTCATTCGATTGCAAGAAATTATGAAATTTTTACTTAATTTATTATTATTATTATTATTATTATTATTATTAATATTCTTTCGGACAATCCGATGGAGGGAAAACAAAAATAAAAAATTTTTTTAAATCCGTTAAAACGTTCCGGAACGTTATGCGTTTAAACAAAAGGGGTTTGGGTTTATTTACTCTATGGTGGATTTCGTTTGTAACGATATGATTTTCTCGTAAGCTAAACTAAGACTCTGTTTTTTTTTTTTTTTTTTTTGTATTTTTCGATTTCGAATTTGTCGAAAATTAAAATGGCTCCCTTCCTCCCCCCCTCCCCGTTCATCCGTGAAGGATGCCCCGGCCCTGTAATTGTTTTTTAATCATTTCATTTTTAAAAAATTTTCGCGGTTTTTTTTTTTTTTTTGTTTCCGTCTTTGCTTAACGTCTTAACTTTCAAAAGTTGCTTTCCCTGTACGTTTTTATTAATCGATATTTTAGTTCAGCAGCAGGATTTTCGTTTTTTTTTTGTTTTTTTTTTTTTGTAGTTTTTTGAAATCTTTGTAACGTCCCGTAGTTGTCCCCCGTTGATTTTTTTTTTTTTTTAAAGTTGTTACCCCTTGTAATGTAATTTTTGGTTTTTTTTTTCTGTCGTATTCTTTTTAAATGGTGTTCAAGCGGTGTACAAATTTTTTTTTTGTATCATTTAAGTAAATTAACCACGTTTCATTTTAATTAATTGTTAGCTCGTCTTTAGCTAAGCTAGTAGTAGTCTTTAGTTAATTTTCATAAGGAATTCAAAAATGTCGTCTCTTTAAAATTTTTTAAGTTTTTTTTCCTCCAATTTTGAATTTTTACGTATACGGGTTTACGGTTGTTGTTGTTTTTATTACAATATTTAATCTTCACAGATGCCATACAAACATCATAATTTTGTCGTTTTTTTGGTAAGTTTGGTAAAAGAAAAAAAAAAAAAACATATTTCAAGGAAAAACCGTGGGAGAGTGAGAGAGATAGAGAGATGTTTAGAAGGGCGGGGTTTTTTTTCCATATAAAAATGTGTCAAATTTTATATCTTGAAAAGCTTAAGGTCGTGAAAACTAACGAAAAATTTATAATCGATTTCCCTCCTCACCCCTCCCCCCCATAAGCTAATAATTAACTTTCGAGCTTTCAATTTTTTTTACACGCAAAATATTTTTTTAAATTTATTTATTATTATTATTATTATTATTTGTATTTCGTTTTTTGCCAAAATGTCTGCCGATTGTTTCCTTCAAAAATTTATTATTAAGTGTCTAAGGTATGATATAAGATGATGATTATCAATTTTTTTCTTAATTTTATCAGGTCGTACCTTTTTTACAAAAAAAAAAAAATTAAATTAATTGGTTGTTTCATTATGGCGTTGGCATGTAATAATGCATAAAAGGTCGTCGTCGTCGTCGTTCATTTTCTCCCACTCGACGAATAATTTTTGGTTTCGGTTTGCAATACAGGTTTTCGACTCCGGATTTAATATTATTATTATTATTATTTTAATTTCGCTTAAAGTTATTTTTTGTAATATTTCCAGTACTTCCAGCTTCAAAATGTTTCAACTATTTTCGTGCATATAGTTCCAGCCAAGAGATATTATTATTATTATCAGTTTTTTTTTTAGGACAAGAAAAAGATATTATTTGACACGATTAAATGTAAAATGATTTCCGCGGGTATGTGACGTCACGACTAAAAATTCCATTCTCGAAACACTAATTTTAAATTTATAAAAGAGAAAATTGAATTACGCGTTGAGGTTATTTATTTATAAATTTGTGTGTGTGTGTGTGCGTGTGATGAATTGGAAAAATTTTGACACGTTTAAAAATAAACCGTTTTATTTCAGCTCGGTGAAAGAGGATCTGGTATTAGGTCAAAAGGTCAAGTTCAAGATTTTTACGAATTGCGAGATGAATGCCTTCAAAGTGGAACCCTTTTCGAGGATCCCGATTTTCCCTGCGAGGATTCATCGATATTTTTCTCAAGCAGACCCAGGATGAGATTCGAATGGAAAAGACCCATGGTAATAATTATCATTGCGTGGTAACTCTGTGCGCGTGTAAGAATGAACCTGAAAAAAAAAGGTTCGCCTTACGAAGCAGTATAAGAGGAGGATCCTTTTGAATTTCTCACACAAAAAAAATCCACCATTTTGTTATTTTAAATTAAATTTTTTTTTTTTTTTTTTTTGCAGGAAATTATTGACGATCCTCAACTTTTCGTCGAAGGCGTGTCCCGTTTTGATGTTCAACAAGGAGAATTAGGTAATCATTTTCTTTCTTTAAATTACCTTAAGGGTTAACAAAAAAATCTATTAAATTCCTCATTTATGTATTTTGAATATTTTTTTATTTTTATTCGGGGTAAAAATATAAAAATATTCCTACAGTTAAATGTTATCAAATTGCCACCATTTTTGTTTTTGCACCCTCCCGATATCAATTATCATTAACTCAAATGTAAACATGCGTGTTTCGTAATTCACCCTTTAATTATCTTCCCTTCTTTTTCTATATAAAATAATTTTTTATTGCTTCAGGTGATTGTTGGCTTTTAGCTGCCGTTGCCAATTTGACTCTTCATCAGAGTTTATTTTATCAAATAGTGCCAGCCGATCAAGATTTCGAAGAAGATTACATTGGTATATTTCACTTCCGGTAAGAAAATGCTGCGTGGAAAAGTTTAACGAAATCGAAAGATTTTGTTTTTAAAAAAAATTTTTTTTTTTTAGATTTTGGCAATATGGTAAATGGGTTGATGTTGTTATCGATGACCGTCTTCCTACTGTAAATGGCAAATTGGTCTTCCTTCATTCATCTCAACCCAATGAATTTTGGAGTGCTCTTTTGGAAAAAGCATACGCAAAGTGAGTTTTTAACGACGACGACAACATGTCGGACAATACGAAATAATTTTTTTTGACAAGGTCGAATTTATTATGAATTACCATTGTTTTCATTAGTATAATTTCACATAATCGAAACAAACGGCAACAAAACGATTCGACAAACGCTTTAAGATTATTTTCATAAATAATTTTTTTTATATTTCAGACTTCACGGGTCATATGAAGCACTCAAAGGTGGTAGCACGTGTGAAGCCATGGAGGATTTCACGGGAGGAGTTACGGAAATGTACGATTTGAACGAAAACGCTCCACCGAATTTATTCAAAATGATGATGAAAGCTTACGAAAGAAGTTCTTTGATGGGTTGTTCCATCGAACCCGATCCTAACATTCTCGAAGCACAAACTCCTCAGGGATTGGTCAAAGGTCACGCTTACAGTATTACTAGAGTTTGTTTAGCCGACATAACGACTCCAAATATGAGCGGTAAAATACCATTGATTCGATTGAGGAATCCTTGGGGAAACGACACGGAATGGAACGGACCTTGGAGTGATCGGTTGGTACCGACATTAAATTATTATTATTATCTCCTCAATGAAACGAAAATTAATGACTCGACCTAGAAGACGAAAAAAAAAAAAAATTTATTTAAACTTTGATACTCTTTTTTTTTTCTTCGATAGTCTTCTTAGTTATAATGATGGCTCATTTTTGTGGATTTCAGATCTCCCGAATGGAGGTTTATACCTGAACACGTGAAAGAAGAAATAGGTTTAACGTTCGATCAAGATGGAGAATTTTGGATGTGTTTTAAAGATTTCATGCATTATTTTGATCGTTTGGAAATTTGTAATTTAAATCCTGATTCTCTGACAGAAGAAGAACAAATTGGAAAGAAAAAATGGTTAGAATTCATTTCAATTTGCCTTACTACTACTACTATTATTATTATTATTATTATTAATGTTATCAAAATATCGTTGTTGTTGTTGTTGATAACGGAAAATCGTAAACATTGAATACGATAAATGTAAAAAAAAAAAAATTTTTTTGTTGATTTTATTATCATTATTTGTTTTTTTTTCAGGGACGTGAGCGTTTTCGAAGGGGAATGGGTGAGGGGTGTCACTGCCGGAGGTTGTAGAAATCATTTACAAACATTTCATCACAATCCTCAATATCGTATCACTCTAACAGATGCCGACGAGGACGACGAAGAAAACAAATGTACTCTTATTGTAGCTTTAATGCAGAAAAATAGAAGATCCCAAAGGAACATGGGTGTCGAGTGCCTTACAATAGGATTTGCCATTTACAAAGTAAACATTTACGTTAAAAGAAAGAGGGATTAGGGGGGAATTCAGGGATGGGTTTGAATTTGTAATTTGTTTATTAACATGATTACAGTTAGATGATCCAGATCGCCTTCCGAAACCGTTAAACCTGGATTTTTTCAAATACAACGCTTCGTGCGCTAGGTCTCCATCATTTATAAATTTAAGAGAAGTGAGTTGCAGGTTTAGTTTATCACCCGGAGTCTACTGTATAATTCCATCAACGTTTGATCCGAACGAAGAAGGAGAATTTATACTTCGTGTATTCTCCGAAAACAAAACATACATGGAGCAAGTTTCTTTTTTTATTATCATTATCATTTGTACACTCGAATATTTTTTTTCACTTTGTGTTTTGTCGTTTCGGTTAACAGGGTTAACGACGAAGAAATCGGAATGGGTAAAGTAGACGAAAGAGTAATAGAACCAACGGTTCCAGAAAATAGAGACGAACAAAGGGAAAAAGACGAAAGGATTCGTCAATTTTTCTCGAAACTCGCTGGAGAAGATAATGAAATCGACTGGAGAGAATTACAAGAAATTCTTAATTATGCCATGAGGGAAGGTACGCGAAGAGGATCACACACGTGGGGGGATTTTTTTTTTTTTTTTTTTTTTTATTTAGTTAATTATTAATTCTTAGATCATTGATTTTATTGATTTTACTTTTCTTTTTATGTTTTTCTTTTTCTTTCTAGAAATAATGCTCGATAGGAGGATATTTATATATGTAAAATTATCCTCCAATTAAAAACTTTCTATATATGTAAACATTTCATAAGAAGAGCATTAATTAGTATTTTTTTTTTTTTTGTGTCGTGGCTCTAGATAAAAATAATTCGCTTAACCTTTTTTTTTTTTATTAATTTTTGTTTGTTTCTTTCGCTTCTTCGTATATGACATGTTTTTTTTTTGTTTAATCTGCAACTAATAATTATTTATTTCCTTTGGTATGTAGAATTACCAACTAGGCCTCCCACACAGGAAAATGGCTCGATTTTGACGTCACTTCTTGGTTCTCTATGTGGAGCCATTTGCAGTGATCCAAGCATCACTCAATTGTTTGCAACGGGTAAGCTCTTTTTCCAACTCCAAATTTTTATCCATGGATCCTCACTTCTCGAACTCTCGAAGTCGTCGATCGATCAATCGATCGATATCTCGAAACAATTTATGAATGTTGTATGTAAACGTTTTGATTCGTAAATGTAACGAATAATTTTTTAATTTTTTTTTTTTAATAGAAAACAAATCGACTCTCGATGGATTTTCACGTGACGTTTGTCGTAGTATGATCGCCATGTTGGACGTCGATAGATCTGGAAAATTAGGTTTCGAAGAATTTAAATCCCTTTGGACGGACATAAGAAACTGGAAGGTGATGAACAAACAAACCAAAACACGGATTTTAAATTGTTGTTGTTGTTGTTGTTGTGGTTGTTGTACAAAACTAAAAATTGTTTTTTTGAATGTTTCAGGCCGTTTTTAAATTATACGACAAACAAAATACGGGACAGTTGAGCGCTTTCGAACTTAGAGAAGCATTAAATTCCGCCGGATATAGATTGAACAATCACATATTAAACGTTTTGGTTCATAGATACGGAACGAAAGAAGGTTCCATAACGTTCGATGATTTTATGATGTGTGCCGTTAAATTAAAATCAATGATAGGCACGTATTATTATTATTATTATTATTAGAATGAAAATCGTCGTTGGAAAATTTCGTAGTAACTCGTTTCTTTATATATATATATATACAAAAAAAATTATGTAAGTTTTTCTTTTAATCCGGTGTTACGAAAAAAAAAAGAAAATGGCGATTTATCGACGTGATTAATGCGAATTATTATAAAAAATTTCATTTATTATTATTATTATTATTATTACGAAAAGAAAATTTTGTGTCATGTGTAGTTTTCTCTGTAAGGAAAATCTTCTCCCCCCTCCCCCATTACGTCATCGATTTCTTCTTCCTTTTGTCCGATATAGGCAATCGAGTTACGATATTCGAATTTTTTTTTAAAAAAAACAAAGCCTCCGAGATTTTTAGTTTTTTTTTTGTTTTTGTTTTCAGATTTGTTTAAGGAAAAGGATCCGGATAATACGAATCACGTGACTTTTTCACTCGAAGAATGGATCGAAAGAACTCTATACTCATAGTATTTTTTTTTTTTTCCCACCCCCCTCCTCCCCCGACTCTACCGCCTATTTCTATCGTTATCAGCGTGGGAAAAGTTAATTATTATTATTATTATTATCATCGATCGTAATAATAATAATAATAATAATTCATTAATCGCTTTTTCATTTATGATTTTTTTTTTTTTTTACAAAGAGTTTATTGTTAAGGATTTTTTTTTTTTTAAATGTAAAAACTAACAAATTTAATTTACTTAACGTTTATTATTATTATTATTATTATTATTATTATTATTATTATTATTGTTATTAATTACGAGAGAGAGAGGAATAAAAAGAGAGATGAGAGAAATTTTAAAAGTCGTTAAATAAAAATAAATAAAAATTTATGTATGTTATTGAAAAAGGAAAAATGAAGTTGTTACTATTATTATTATTATTATTATTAATTGTTTAATGTTTATGACGCGTTATCATCATCATCATTATCATTATATGTATGGCGATTTTTGTTAAATTAAATTAATAAACGAAAATTTTTGCTTTTTTTTTAATTTAAAAATTAATAATAATAATAATAATAAATAAAATTTGTTTATTTTACATTTTTTCTCTTTCTTTCTTTTCGATGTTGCCAAAATTACGTTGATAATTTATTATCATTATCATTATTATTATTTATATAGATATAAACGTGTGAAAAATGAATTTTAATAAATCATTTGTTAACAAAAAAAAAAAAAAAGTCATTGAAGTAGATGTAGGATGAATAGGTGGTAGATAGATAGAGAGATCACCAGTCAGTCGACGACCCGGGTATTTTTTATTTTAGGCGGTACTTTATCAACTATTGGCTTTTATCCAATTAAATGGCAAACCAAAATTGGAGGGTTTTACGTAGTTGGTAACCCACTGACTGGATACACGGTTTATAAGATTTTAAAGGTAAAATTCTACCATTCGAGTTTGAACCGTGGTGAAGAAACATGTTTATGTTTGTTAGTTCAAAAAGTAACTCGACCGAATTTTTTAATTTAATTAAATAAAATAATTTTTAATCGTAAAATAATTTGGTCGGTGTTGTTCTTATTTAGAAAGTGACGTCATAGCGCGGTTTTGTTTTGTACTCTATGGTTTTGTAGAAGGTTACAGGTAAAGATGGTGGACGACGTATTTTCGTAGTGAATCACTCCTGTTTTGTTTTCATCATTGTCGTGTAGTTTAGTATCGAATCTTAATGTTTTTTAAAGTAATTTATATATATTTTTTTCATTTATACGTTAATTAAATGTGTTGTCAAAGTTTTTTTTAAATTTAATTATAATCGTAATGCCGTGATGTAATTTATCTCGATAAAAAAAAATTCAATCATTTATTGTCTTTAAATGTCTGTTAAATGTCAATTATTACGGAAAACGTTTAAAAAAAATTTCATAAATTATTTTTTACTACCTTTTTATTAAATGTAATTAAATGAAAAAAAAAAAAAAAAATGGCCAATTCTTCGGAACTTAATTCCATCGAAGGAAACTTAACTGATACTAGTTCAAATGTTTCTGCAAATGTTAAACCTTTCTCTCCTGACGTTCATCCATTGGCATTCACGATTGAATTCAATGATCAAAAAATTGATGAAGCGAGAAAATCAAAGGTTCACGAAAGGTTGAGCGCGTTTACATTGAAACATAAAAGAAACCCGTCGTTACCTGATTTTGGAGCCGTTCAAAATGCCAATGGTAATACACCAATCGAAAAACTGCCATCACCGTTAAATTCACAACATGTGCCTATTATTGGAAAAACTAATCAAAAATTTGGTAATAATTCCGATATCCAATGGAAATCATCTCCATTAAAAGCAATCAAAAATGGTGATTTAAAAAGTCCAGCAATATTGAGAAATTTAGAAGTTAATAACATAAAAGAAAATTTTTTGAAACATTTCAAAAATGGCAGAAGGAATTCACTGAATGATATCGACAGTAATAAAATGTCACATCAAACAGGTGAAATATCGATAACTCAAAAATTTCATGTGATTAAAAATGGTGGCGATGATAGGATTCATGTAGTTAAAAATGGCGGAGAAGATAGAATGGCAGATTTAGATAACAAATCAGATACTGTAAGCGAAGCTGGAACATACACTGTGGATAAAGAGGATGAAAGTCCGGAGAATGAAGGAGATAAAACACAGATAATGATAGATCAAGATGAAATGAAAGAAAATTTAAATGAAACCAAGTCAAGTTTTAGAAGTAGTTGGATAAACGATTGGGTGAGAGATGTAGAAGAGCAAAACATGCGAAATCCTGCCTTGAAAGAACCTTCAATCGCTTTGAGAAGTTCAGGAAGCGGACATGGTTCACCAGGTGCATCAAAAATTCCTTCACCGATAAATACTCTTAGTAGAAAAGTCAAATTAAGAAATAATGGGCCTACTGAAACATTTCCTAACAAAATAAACGGATACATGATACATAAACGTTCTTCTAGTCTTAGTGCCAAGGTACGATAAATTCACTTTTATTTTCCCCGTTTTCTCATTCTCACTTGCAAATAGCTTTATTTAATATCAATTCGATAAGCATTAGTTAAAATTTTTCTTCTGCTGTAACCTTCTTATCACATACACACACACACAGCAGGGTTGATTTATTTCTTGTATCATCGATACAAATTAAATTTGCACTTTTAAACTTTATTTTTTTTGCAACTTATTCAAATTTTCAAAACCGATTTCAATTTCGATGAGGGATTACAAAAAGGAATAAAGCCTTATGTGATAATGAAAGTTTTTTTTTTTTTTCTTTTTTTAATTAAGGCCTAAAAAAAAAAAAAGAAAAAAAAATAATTATTTAACCAGGAAGGACAATTTAGTTTAAAAAATTTTTTATGAGGGCCATTAAAGAAAAAAAAAAAATGTAGACTGGTCGTACAAATAATACATTTCAAGGCCAAGGAAAAAGGAAACTCGTTGTCTGTCCCACATAAACACATAATATCATCTTTTTTCTCTTTTCATCTCTATTGATAATTATTATTATTATTTTTTTTGAAAGTAAAAACGAGAAAAGATATTAATGTGTGGTTGTTGTTGTTGTTGTGTGTTTCCTAATGACCCCTCGTGTCGTTTGTAGGATTATAATGAAAATCACGGTAGCGAAAGCAGCATAGAAACGGATTCGTTTTTAAGAGCAACCGAATCCGTCATGACTTCAATGCAGAACAGAATGAGAATGTCGCTGGATAGCAGAACCATTTCGAATTTTCGCAAACCTGAAAAAAAAGATTTTAATTACAAAGAGAGACCTCATCCACCGAGCACGGCATCCGACACCGACACGAATAGCGAATCCGAGGGTAAATTATTTAAAAAACCCATCGGGAATCCCTTTACATCCGCCAGATTAAACAGAGCTTTCAGGTACGTTGTTCCTTTCCGGCGACGTAATCCTCTCCGAGAGTGGGGGAGGAGGACTCACCAACTCATCATTACGAACCGTCATTTAATTTATAATTTTATATGATTTCCCAGTTTACGAAGAGCTAAAGCCGGACCCGAGGGTGATAGTAATAATAATAATAATAACGGTAAAAAGAAACCCTCTACGAACGGTAAGGAAACGGAAATGAAAAACTCGGCGGTTAATTCGAAACCGGCATCGAGTTCGAAAAGCGTACCTGCCAAACCACCGGTTTCGACACCTTTTTCAAGGACCGACGTCGGAAGGTTCAGCATGAGGAGCACCGTATCGAGCATCAGAGTAAGTTTTTCCTTTTTTTTTTTTTTCTTTTTACGTCGACGACGAATCATCGTGGAAAAAAAAAAAACGAAAATTTAAAAAAGGTAAAATCAACATACACACACACACGAAGAAGCGATTAAACCTTGAAAGGTGACATTAGTGTTATTTAGTATAAAACATGATCTATCTCTCTCTACTTTCTTGTCATGATTATTACTCGTACGAAATATTATTATTATTAATATTATTATTATTATTACCACATCAAGGTCGCGAATCTCAAAAATCATTTTTATTGTTAAGGAAAGGAAAAAGAAAAGCTTCTTTTTTCTTTTGTTATTTTTTGTCCGAATTTTTCTTTTCGTTTATTTTCTCTATGACTAAATCTCTCGATTTTTCAACAACAATACAAACAATGGCGACCGTTTATCGTTTGAAATTGTTTTATCACAACAACAGCAATTTATCACCCGCGTCATTAACTCATCGCGTTCGCTCATACATTTGGAATGCTGTTGCTCCAGATCGATCGATCAATCAATCAATCAATCAATCAATCACTATCGTAGGAATCGTTTTTTGTGTGTGTGTGTGTGTGCGTGTGTTGAACGGAATACGGTCACGGCTAACATTTTTTGTTTTTTTTTTCTTCGCTTGCCATCGCGCCCTTTCGATAAAGCGTTTTCACCTTTTCCGCTCTTTTAAATTATTATTATTATTATTATTATTATTATTTTTCTCATATCTTTTCTCTTTTGCACGGGTACACTTGCTTGCTCGCTTGCTTGCTTGTTTGCTTGTCAAAGATTGCAAAATAAGTTTTTTTTTTTTTATTAATTGTTCGACTCGAACAACAACAAACTAGAATAAAAAATAAATTATTTAGTGCATGACAGGATATGTTCGGTTAGTCATTTCAAAACATTCGTTAAAGATTTTGTTTGTTTGTTTGTTTGTTGATTTCATTATTATTATTATTATTGTTAAGACTATATGGTAGTTAGTCGTAGTGTTTGTTGTTTTCATACGTCACGGAAAAAATTTGAAACGGTTTTGTTTTTCTGAAAGAGATTCCATTCTATTGTTACCTTCGATTAATAAATGCGAGACCCTCATCATGATATGGCAAAAGATGGTTGGTGGTATGATTGAGTTGAAAAAAATTTTCATGTTTGTACTCGTAAAAGAATTTATTCACGTTTTGTTTTGTTCGGTAATTAATTACTCCCCCTCTCTCTCTCTCCTCTCTCTCCTCTCTCTCTCTTTCTCTCTCTCTTTCTCTCTCTCTTTCTCTCTCTCTCCTCTCTCTCCTCTCTCTCTCTTTCTCTCTCTCTCCTCTCTCTCTCTCCTTCTCTCTCTCCTTCTCTCTCTCTCTCGGTTCCTTGCAAGAGGTTTACTAGGTGTCTCTTTCTCCTGGAAAAAGGGAATTCCCCCCGATTTGTGCATTTTATTTAAATTATTTTCCCCATTGGATGCGTGACGTCATGTTCCCGAACAAACGTCAAAGTCTTTGGGTGTTACTTTTGGTCTTGCAGAAGAGTTCGCGACAGGTCCATCAAGTCGTTACCCAGATGACTTTACGGTGGTACCTAGGTAGCGATTCCTCCTCCAGTTTTATATTCGTGGCACTTTTGTCGATATCGTGGTTCGATAAATTTTGTACTGTCCTTTTTTTTTTCTTCCATTGTTTTCGATCGCGATATAGACGAATTCGGAGGAATGACTTCCTCGTCGCATACCTTAAAAATAATTTATTTGTAACGTTGTATTAAAACATGCCAAAATTTATACTCGGTCGCTTATAAAAATTCATACCGGGTACCTTTTTTTAAATACTTTGTAAAAACGAGTAGGAATGCGAGAATGAAAAAATGGCAATTTTCGTTTGCTCAATTTTGCTCTTTACGAGAGAAAAAACAATTTTTTGTCTTGAGGCCCCCCTTTATTCTTTTTTTTTTTTCTTTTGTTTCCATTTCCCACAGTGTGCAATTACACCACCGTGAGGAACCTTGATGTTTTGAATAGAATGATATCATTCTTCTTATGCATCTAATAGTAGTGCGTAATGTTTATGATGATAATAATAATAATACACAACACGTCACGATTGCATTTATTTGAATAATTGTAAATTTGATACGAACGTCGTCAAATGTCGTCCTCGAAAAGGAAAATCTCGATGACGTCACAACAAATTTAAATCGACAAAAGAAATTGAAAATAAATTGAATTAATTTAATTCGAACGTTTCACTCTGGGATAGAGAGTAATTAAATTGTTTAATTAGAATTTCGTTTCCGTATTGTTTTTTTTTTTTTTTTTTTCATTTTGTTGTCTTGCACGAGGGAAAGGAAAAACGTCAAATGTTGACGAGGGGGTGGTGGTGGTGGTGATGGTGGTACCACCGTTGCGACCGTTAAATTTATCATTATTATTATTTTCTTTTCTTTTATTGATTGGAAATTGATGATCAATTAAAAAAAAAACAATTGGCATTTTTTTTCTTTTCTTTTATTTTATCATTGAGAAATGCGACGATGATGATGATGATGTTGTTGTTGTTGTTGTTGTTGAGGAGGAGGAAGTGGAGGGGAAGGAGGATGAGGTAGAGGTAGAAAAGAATGATTAATGCATTTTAATTAACAATATGGCGAATAAATTTGTAATTTTCGTTGCGTTACGTATGACGTAGGATTTTCTTATTTCTTCTTTTTTCTTCTTTTTGCTATCGTTCATGTTTTGAAAATAATAATAATAATAAATGTAAAAAACGTAATTTTACCTTAATTTTTCGTTGCCGTAATTATATTATATTATCTGATTATTATTATTATTATTATCATCATTGTGAGTCACACAAGAATGCGTTTCGTACGAGTTTGTAGTACGTATATGTGTGTGTGTGTGTGTGTGTGCGTTTGTTTGTTTGTTTGTACATACGAATTGTCCTATCTCACTCGACAATCATTGTTTTCGATTTTAACAATAACAAGTGCATTGCTCTTTTCAATAATCTTAACCATTCTTTCATAATTCATAACCGTGAAAAATCGTTAATGAAGAATGTGTGTACCTGTGTGCGTGTGTGCGTGTGCACGTGCGCGAGTCAACCGACCAGAAACGACGAAACTTGACACTAGCAAAAATTTTATTTCCGCAATTCTGTAACTTTCTCGAGGTGTTGTGAGAGACACACACGCACACACACACACACACACACGTCAGTCAGTCAGTCTAACAATCAGGCACGTACCTTTTTTTTTTTTTTTTTGTCCTACGTCACTCTCGTTTGTTCTAATCTTGCTAATTCTAATAATCGTTTTCCAAAAGGTGATTGTTTCATTGAGAAACGTCGGGGTGTCGTTTTCAACCTTTGATAAACTTTATTCAATTTTGTTCGTTTGTTTGTTTGTTTGTTTGCACGTTTGTTAATTCAGAATGTAATTTAATATATATTTTGTAAATTCAGGTTTCGAGTTATTTGTATAAAAAAAAAAAAATCCCCCGATATTGTCGTATTAATTTTGATTAATTTTTTTTTTTTCGTGTCGTGAGCATTTGTTTAAACGACCTATTTTTATCATTATCATTATTATTATTATTATTATTAATTTATTTATTTTTACTTGTGTCTTAACTTAAACAATGATTCATTTAGACTTTTTTGGCTATTACAAGTTGTTTCGACCTCTTTTTATTCGTCTCTCTCTCTCTCTTTTTCTCTCTCTTTCTTCCCCCCTCTCTCTCTCTCTCTCTCTCTCTCTCGAAATAACAAGAATTATTGTTGTTCAATGTTGTTTGTTGTTTGTTGTCTTTGCAATAGAAAAAAAAAAAATTTTTTTTGCAATGATTTGTTGTTTTACCATCCACGGATAATTCTAGAAGTTTTGCAATAAACGTGTTTTCTTATATATCATTATCATTATTATTTTTTGAAATACAAACGAAATCAAAAATTTTATACTCACGCCTTCCCTTACTATCATTATCATTATTATTATTATTATTGTATGTTAATTTATGTTTGTTTAAACAAAATGTTTAATATTGTTTGTTTAATCAATTAAAAAAAAAAAATTTTTTCAATTACGTCAGACGTTGTTACGTTTTTAATTTTCCGGTTGATTTTGTTTTTCTAATTTTTTGGTTGTGAAAACGACCGAGTGACGTCAGAGAGGGAGGGGTGTGTGCGAGTGCGTGCGTATGGGGGGGGGTTCCCTGTTTGAATAAATTCGAAAATTTGGTTTCTGTTTTTTTTTTTTTTTTTTTGCGGTGGAAAATTCAAATCCAGCATCCGACTCTCAAGGGATTTGAGTTCAATTTATTATTATTATTATCATCATCATTTTTAGAGCCTGAGTTTTTTTTACGACTTAAGTGTCAATAATGTTTATTATTATTATTATTATTTTTTTTTTCCAGACGGTTTAAATGTAGTTTTTTTCAATAACAACAAAACATAACGGGACACGCTCCATGATGCGATTCAAAAAAAAAAAAAAATTTTTTCTAACGACTTTTTTGTTGTGGTTGTCGTTGTTGTTGTTGTTGTTGTTGTTGTCGTTCTCTCAGACGACAGAAATTGTTTGTTATTTTAATTGCCATCCGTACATGGAATGAAAATGATTTTTTTCTAATTAAATTTTGTGATTGATTCATTTTTTTTTCTTTCTCTCTTTTGACACGACAGTCGACATTTTCAATTCAAAATCAAAAGAAAGATGTTAAAAAAACCGGAAACGGCGGAAACAATCGAAGCGCTTCCTCTTTGTCTTCCCGCGAAGTCGAATTTCAAAATTGGAGAAGGCGAAAAAGTTTCGATCCCATGAAAGCAGCCGCCGAAGGGCGGAAAAAAGAATTGGCGAAAAAAGCAGCCATGAATCAGATAATGACGCAATCGGCGAATATGGGAAACGGTACCCGAACCCGTGGGTAAGTATCCGATCATCCATTTTTGCATTCGGAAAATGCCTTCGAGTGGGTGGGGTGGGTGGTTGACAAATGGGAAAAAATGTCACCGAAAGAATCACGATGGTATTGTATATTCCAGGAACAACAGCGCCACTTTACCCGTTCTCAGATCTGCGTCTTTTCATTCTACGGCTCAGGTTTTCGGGGGAGGGGGAGAAGACGACGGTCGGGACGAAGAATTTCAAGATCAGGGATCGACGGACGAACAGGAAGAATCCGGTGCTTCGTCATGGGCGTCCAATCATCATTCACTTTTGACAAATTCACCCACTCAGGTGAGAAAGGACGCGGGGGGAACAAAAAAAAAATTGTCAACCGTCGTGATAAATGTTTTTCATTTACCACACGACCTTAACGCCCTCCTCCATTTTTTTTCCATTATTATTATTATTATTATCATCACCACCATCACCGACGTCACATTGAAATAATAAGAACGTTAAACGAATAATAATGAACCTGTGAAAAATTTTCCACCCAAAGAATTCGAACAAACGTTAGGCGGAAGCTATGAGTGTGCGCATGCGCGAGTTGAATGATTGATTGATTGATTGATTGATTACATCTTTTTCAGGTTTGTGCTCGGTGCTGTTGTTCGACGGTGGTCCGAGGTGTCACAAGCGGTAGCAGATGTTCGCTCGTCTCCGAAAGTCATTCACCTTCTAGTCGTAAATTAAGATCAGAGGATCTTGATAGTTTGGTTATGACCGCCATAAGCGACTTGTCGTACAAATTAAAATTAAAATCGAGCCAATTGTTGAAAAAATTAAAGTGAGTTTTCCCTAAGTTTATCATCATCATCATCATCATCATCATCATTGTAATCACCGTCGTCGCCGCCATTTTTGTTTATTTATGTATTTATGTATTAATTTTCAGTTACCTGTACGTTTCGAACGAGGAAAAATCATTTCGACTTCGTGACGAAATCGCACTTCTCGACAGCAGACGAAATTCATCAGCAAAATCATCGCCGATACATCAAGCAGCTTCCAGAGATTTGTCAGCCATATTGAAAAATTTAAAAGGTTTGGAAAACGTTTTGAAAGTCGTAGACGACGTTTTGTTCGATGAAAGCATAGAGATTTACGTCAACGAATGAACGAACGAGTGAGTGAATGAATGAATGAATGAATGAATGGATGAATGAATGAATGAATGAATGAATGAGCGAACGTACGAACGAATGGATTTTTTTTTTTACAATGTCGCCATTTTTCTATTTCTCTTTCTTTCTTTCTTTTTTGTTCTTTTATTTGTTACTTTACCACGTTCAAATTTCGATATTATTATTATTTTACAACAAAAAAAAAAACGAACGTTCGTAAGACGTTCGATTCGATTGTGATAAACGTTCACGATGACCAATGATTTTTGGTGTAGAGGAGCATTTAAGTACATATACACACACAGATAGATGGATAGATGGATAGATAGATAGATAGATGAATCTTTTTCTTCACGTTCACGTGGTGGTGCTAAGAGTAATTTTTGAAGAAAAAGATAAAAAAGGCCAAACCGAGAAAACGGTTCGCGTTCGCGTTCGTTACCCAAAACGAACGCGAACGTCAATCAACGTAAAAAAGAACCAATAAAAAAATTCTAAAAAAAAACAGAGAGAGAGAGAGAGAGAGGGAGAGAAAGAGAAAGAGAGAGTAGAAGATGCGCAAAAAATTTAATTATCGTAAACGAGATATCGATGAGAGGGAATTTTGAGTTAATTAATTAATTAACTTCCGGTTTTAAGAGTATCGTAATAACGTGATTGATTAATTAATGTATCATAGTTCGACTCGTTGAGTTTTCTCTCTCTCTCTCTCTCTCTTTTTCATATCACATAATAATTATTTTAACGTGGCATTAGAAAAAAAAAAAAATGTAATTCGAAGAAGTCGGGTAAATAACGAAAGGGGGAGAGAGAGAGAGAAAATTTCAAAAAAAAAAAAAACTTTAGTGCCTAATGCAATTCTCTCTCTCTCACTCTCTCTCTCTCTCTCACACTCATTCACTCACTCTCTCTCTCTCTCTTTCTCTTTCTTTTTTTTTTAAAATACGTTCGAAACGGGGAAAAAAAATAAAAACCGAAAAACGACACTACTAATTATTATTTGCCACTAATCGATCGATCGCTTTCTTTATAACAAAATTATTATTATTATTATTATTATTTGTTTAAATAAAAAAATAATAATAATAATAAACGAAAACTTTGTAATTTCGCCATTTTTTTTTTTTTTTTTTAATAATAACGAGGTTGTTGTCGCAAACGCGAATTAATTATTATTATTATTATTATTATTAATGTTTTATCGTCGAAATCCTAATAATAATAATAATAATAATCATTATTAATAAAGTATTATTATGATTTTTTTTTTAAATTAATTAATTAATAATAATAATAATAATAATAATAATTCGTTTAAATTAACGTTAAAAATAATTTTTGTATTTAAGTTTAAAAATAATAATAATAGTTACCAATCGTCGAGCATTCTTTAATTTCGCTTTTATATTATATACATATATATATATATATATCGAAAAAAAATTGCCAAAATTATATATATATTATTAATATTAATATTATTATTATTATTATTATTATTATTATTATTATTATTATCATCATTATTATTTTTGTAAAAAAAAAAAAATTATTATTGTATAAGGAATTGGAAAAAAAAAAAAAAAAAACAAAAAAAAAAAAAATGAAATTAATAAATAAAAAAATAAATCTTATTCGACATAAAAATGTTTATTATTATTATCATCATCATCATCCTTTTCCTTTTTTCCATGCACGTTTAATTATCGAGTTGAATTATCAATGGTTCGGATTTGATTTTACTCAAAAACCTCCTTGATATTATGTTTTACGAATACATCAGAGAAAATTTTGTCGATGTTTTTAGAGAGAAAAAAAAAAACGTGACTTTAAGCGAGGAACCCAATGTTGTCATTTTACGACAAGCGAGAATCCAATGTTGCAATTTATTTCAAGCGAAAATTTAATGTTGTATTTGATTTCACTCTAGACCTCCTTGGATATTATGTTTTACGGATACATCAGAGGAAATTTTTCGATGTTTTTAGTGTCAAATGACCTTTTCACGCGGGAGTCTATTATTTAAATTTTATTTTAAGCGGGAATCCATTGTTTGAATTTTATTTTACTCTATTAAGTTCCCACCATTTTTTTATTTAAATTTTTCTGGATGTTTTAAAAAAAATAATACGTTATACGTTTTTATAAATATATATTATATGTATATATTTATATATTTAAAGCAACATTAAAAAACGTTACAATATATATAATAATAATAATAATAATAATAAATTTTGTAATTCGTCATTTTAATTAATTATCCCTTAAAAGGGGGAGAAAACAAAAAAAAAAAAAAAAAAATTACATTGGACCACATTCATATTATCATCATCATTTAAATTATTCAATAATAATAATAATAATAATAATAATAAATATATAAAAATTCGCTTATTTAAATAAGTACTGAATTTTTTTTTTTTTCTCCCTTTTCCCAAACAAAAACATTTCAATAAATTATTACAAATTTTACAGTAGAAAAAAAAAAAAAAAAAAATTAAAAAAATGGAGGATTTTAAAAAATGGCGACTAACAAATTTATGTATATAAAGTTCATCGAGTACGGTCAAATTTACTAAACTAAAAAAAAAAAAAATTAATAATAATAATGATAATAATAATTAAGTACTAATACGATTTCATTTCTCTTTCTTTCATCTACCCCCCCCCTCCCCCCAGCTTCCTCTTACAAATCAGTCGATGAGTAATTCGAAATGAACGGATCCTTCCCGATGCTGATGAGCTCTTTTGTATTCAATATTTTTCGCCCATGCTCTGCATTCAACGTTTATCAGAGTGTGAACTGGAATAAGAAAACATAATTATTATCATTATCATCAATCAATCAATCAATCAATCAATCATTGTTGACGTCACAAATCAAAAAAAAAAAAAAAACGTTTTCCCTTACGTGCGGGCCTTTGAAAGTGAACGGCAACCAACGGACTCAAATATCCTGGAGTGTTCGTGAACGGATAATAAAAACCTGGAAAACCTCTTTTCGGATAATATTGTATTCCCCCAATGTTTTCTCTATCCGCTGGATTTTCACCGTAACACGTTATCCAGACTACGTTACGCTTAAAAACAAACAAACAATAATAATAATAATAATAACAACGACAATTCCAAATGCGCGTCATGGACAAACAACAACCACAAACGTTTGTTTTTAAATATCAATAACGATGATGATGATAATACCTCAGATGGTGGAATTTCTTTTATGTGTTCTTTCAATTCTTCATCCATTTCTTCCGGTAAATTATCAGTGTCGTTATAAAATTCTGGAACCCAATTAAAAATCTTGGAAATGGAAAAAAAAAGAAAGAAAAAAATAAAAAAAATTAAGTTTCATTCGAAACGGATGTGACGTCATTTTTTTTAAAAAATAAATTCCTTTCCCGCGCTTTTTTATCGTTTACGGTAAATAAATAATAATGATAATAATAATAATAATGCTAAGATGATTGTTTTTGTTAAGGTTTTTTTACGTTCTGATACCTACTCTATTCAATTTAATAAAAATACAAGGAGATGACTGATTATAAGAATAACCTTTTTCCTTTGAACAAGGTCCAAAATCATCGACATTAACCGTGCAAACCTTTCCTTCGGCTGGAGGCCTGTCAAAATCGCAAATGACTTTATTTCCATGCTGTCTCGTTTCTAAATAATCTAAAACAACGAGAAAAAAAAACCCTCCCCCTCTCTCCCCCGAAGAAAAAGAAAAAACGGGAGGGGGAGCGGGAGGAGGGGGAATTAAAATTATTAACGATATAATAATAATACTTTGAAAAAAAGATGGCGAAAATAAGAAAAAATTATCATCATTATCATCATCACTATCATCATCATCATCATCATCATCTTTACCCTGTAAAAAGACATCTAACACGTTCGTCCAGTGCATCACGTTAGTTTCGTTAGCTGCAACATACCAAATAAGTGATCCGTGTTTTTCAACGTCTCCGGAATAGGGTCTGTATCCCAAACCGGGATTCGTGCCTATCAGGGATTCGTCCAATTGATAACGGGGATAATCCGGACTTAATGTGCACATAACGGCATACATACATATGGCGAAAAGTGCCGCCAAAGCCGAGAAAAAAACTAAATAAAACGTCACGATTCCACCTGGAAAATACATTTTTTTTTTCACCCGGAAAATGAAAAGAAATTTTCCTCTAATAACTAACAAATTATTTATATATATATATATTTACCCCATCCTTTTATGGTTCTTCCCAAAATGGCTTTCGTATCGGGATCATAAAATCCTCTTTTGAACGATTCCAATTTTGGAAGTTTTTCCGGTTTCATATAAGGCACAAATATATCATTGGTATTTGATGCTGACGTCATTTTTGGAGTCATAGCATACCGGCTTCGAGTTGTACGACTGGAAAAATAAAAATAAAAAAAAAAATAAGAAGAAGGAGAAGAAGAAACGCACGGGAGACTCCATTTCGTTTGCGAGACAACGCGAGACTGAGCGAGATCGGGTGGAAAACTGACGTCACGCACCCTAACGTTCGTCATCGGAACGATTTGTTTTATGTACGACGACAAAATGGAGGACGAGGAAAAATTCGTTTTTCGCGTACCTGGCTATTTTTCCACGAGAATCCACGTAAAAAAAAATCCCGTTTAAATTAACGTATTCGTAAACGTCGTCGTCAACATCGTAATTACCCTCATTAAAATTCGTTATTGTTGTTGTTGTCGATTTTCCATTTTCAAAATCTATCGATTTGTAATCGTTTCTTGTCACTTTACTCTTATTTTTAAAAAGACTTAATTTTTCACTTTTCATTTTTACAATAATTTATCGTCGTAAAAACGACGACGACGACGACGATGATGATGGTGATGATGATGATGATGATAACGATTAAATTTAATTACATTTCCGTCTTGTGCGATCGGATTTGAAAACGAACGGACGACAGGAATTAATATGTTAATTGAAAAAGGGCACATGTGATTAGGTAAACTAAAACGTTTTATTCCGTTTTCACGTTTGAAATTATTTAACTTTTTTTTTTAAATTCGTTCTTTTAACGGTCGTCGTGACGTCAGAGTTTCGTTTTTCTTCCACGTTCAAAAAAAAAAAATTTTTTCTTACCACTTATCGAATCGTTATTAAACGTGTAATTAGACTTATTTCGATTTGTAAATAAATCGTGACGTAAATTAAAAATAATAATAATAATAATTTCGAGTTTTAAAATCTGTTCGAGAGGATTATTAAATTAAAAAAAAAAAAAAAAAAAAAACCATCTCGTAATAATTAAATGGATTTTTTTTTTTTTCAATTTCAAACGATGACTTTTAACAATCAAACAACACGTTAAAATGGCGTCGAGAGAGAGAGAGAAAAAATCTACTCACCGGAAGTGTAAAAAAAAAATCGATTCGATAAAATAAATAAAAAGAAAAAAAATTTTTTTCCCCGATGCTGTTGTTGTTGTTGTTGTCGGCACGATGACTGATAAAAAACTAAATTTTTTTTTTTTTTTTTCGGTTCGGTAATTATTTACATAATGAATTCATCGTTTTACGAGTTTATTAAACAACAACAACAACGACGACGACGACGAAAAAAATGTCGGAAAAAATTTTCATCGTCAAAAATATGTATAATCCCTTTTATCGCGAGTTGTTTTAATTACCGAAATCATCGATATGAGTAAAAAAAAAAAAAAAAACTGGAATCCCAAAACACGCAAACAACATTTTGGCAAAGTTTCAAAAAAAAAAATTTAACGGATTTTAATATTATATTCTACTTCCACGACTTTTTTTTAGCGACAAAACGTTTAACCGTCATTTTCACGCTTACTGTTTTGTGTTGTTTTAAAACTTTACGAAATTTTTTTCCGCGTTTTTTTTTACTCACACGAAGAACGTAATAATAATAATAATAATCGTTTAATATTAACTATCAATTTTCCTTATTTTTTTTTTTTTGCAAAATGGCGCGTAAAAATAAAATTTAATATTGTAATTTTGCCCTTGATAAATCCAGTTTTTTTTAAAAATTATATCCTATTGTTAATTTATATACTTTTTCATAACAAAACATCCTCGTTATTTATGAATAAAAAAAAAGACGTTAACTTTCATTTAAATGTTGTTGTTGTTGTTGTTGTTACCTCTTGTTGAGGTAAATAAGTAAAAGTTAACAACGAAAAAAAAAAAAAAAAAATTTTTTTTTTTTTTTTAAACAAGTATTTAGAAATCTTAACCAGATATTTTCGAATTTAAAAAAAAAAAAAAAATAATTATGGAGGTTTTAAAAATAATAATAATAATAATAATAATAATAATAATAATGACGACGATTACATAACGTAAAAAAAAACTTAATAATAATAATAATTATTTTAAAACATTGACATACTTTCAATAACTATTACTATTATTATTATTTTGCTCGTTGTTGACACTTTGCAATTGATAAAAAAAAAAAAAATTTTAGTTTTTCCGCAATGATAATGATAATAACAAAAAAAAAAAAAAAGGAAATCGTGGTTGAAAACTGTATGACACAAATCCATCCATTAAAACAAATTTTTTTTTGGGTTAAACATTTCGATTCGAAAACGATATATCGATCGATAGCTCGATCGTGGTTGAAAACTAAATGACACAAATAAATCCATTAAAACAAATTTTTTCGGGTTAAACTTTTCGATTCGAAAACGATATATCGATCGATACCTCGATAGTGGTTGAAAACAAAGTGACACAAATAAATCCATTAAAATAATTTTTTTTTTAACTTTTGGATTTGAAAACGATATATCGATCGATACCTCGATCGTGGTTGAAAACTATACGACACAAATCCATCTAAAACAATTTTTTTTTAAACCATTCATTTGAAAACGATATATCGATCGATAGCTCGATAGTGGTTGAAAACAAAGTGACACAAATAAATCCATTAAAACAAATTTTTTTTTGGGTTAAACTTTTCGATTCGAAAACGATATATCGATCGAGTTATCGAAATATATAATGCAGTAGGTAATTGAATTTAAAAAAAAAAAAATAAAAAAGATAATTTTGTTGTCTAAGGGTTAACATTTGAACTGTATACTTGGGTCATTAAACCTATTTTACGATACATTTTTTTTTTTTTTTTTTTTATTTAAAAATCTCGTTTAAATTTTATCTCCATTTGAGATTTTAAGTATTTTATTTAAAATGTTTTTAATGGACGTCGTCGATGTTTTTTTTTTTTTTTTTTTTCAAAACTATCAACAATTCCTTCCTCCCCATTTTTTTTACAAATAATTTCTCACGAGAATACAAAACGATTAGAAAATTTCCTCATACGTTATTAATTTTAAAAAAATTCAAAATATTTAATCAATATTATTATTATTATTATTATTATTAGAAAAAAAAAAAGTAAATATTTACCTGAGAATTCAAATCTTTAACACAAACACAACGAAAAATAATAAATAACTGGATTTTTTTTTTAATTTCAACACGCGACTAAATTTTTTTTTTGCGAAAGTGATCAATTAAAAAAAAAAAAAGTTAACTTGATTGATTGAAACGAGATTTTTAATAAATAAATAAAAATAAATAAATAAAAAATCGAACGTTAGTTACTCGAGAGTAAAAGGCCTTAAGACATGGCACTGACTGGTTTGTTGCAGGAATTTTGTTGATCACTTAAAACGAAGAAGGCAAACCTTGAATGGATGGATCGGGTTCAAATTCATAATAATAATAATAATAATAACGTTTTCAAATTTTTTTTTTTTTTTTACCTCAACATATTTTTCTAGTCAAATTATTTTTTTAAATCTACCTTAAATTCTCATCCCTCACTCCAGGTTTTCAACCACTGGTCAAAAAACTTACATACAAGAAATAAATCACTTTTCACATTATGTTATTATCATTATCATTATCAATCCTCTCACTCATTATATAATTTTGTTCTAGAACGTTTTTAAATGTAAATAATAATAATTTATATATAATTAAAATACCTGATTTTTATGCAAGTACACTTTTTTAAACCTTTGGTAGAATATTAAAACAATGTTTAGTTCTTAGTTCCCTTTATCCGTATACTATTCATAACTTGAGGATGGCAGCCATCTTTTTTTTCCCTGTGAAAAGGAATAACTGAAGTTTATTTAATGAATTTTTTAACTCTATTGTAATGAATGATTAGGTATTGAATTTTGAAATTGTGTCAAAACACGTTTCAAATATGAGCGTGTAAAATTATTACACGTTTAAATTTACCATAACTAACAATAATAATAATAATAATTAAAAACAAATTTTGTACGATGGCTTAAAATTAAAAAAAAAAATGAGAGTTTTTGACATTTTAAGTAATTTTACATATAATCACAAAGAGATAAAACATTATTATTATCTTTTTTTTGGCGAATCGAAGGAAAAACGATAGTAAATGAATTTAAATTTAAATTGCAATACATTAACTACAAGTTTTAAAAAAAAAAAAAATTTCAATTTAATCCTAAGAAATATAAACAATTTAATATTATTATTATTATTTGATTATTACCTTTTGAACTGTGAAATTTATTTTGAAAAAAATTTTATTTTTATCAAATCATTATAACGGAAATGTCACAAAAATAATAATTATTTATAAAATTCATTATTATAACGATGTGTTTACATTTTAAAAAAATTTAACATCAAGTCCTCCATTGACCGTTATTGCGAACGGTGCGCTGTCGGCGGAAAAAATTATAACGAATTTTTCGGGGCCCTAAAAAATAAAAAAAAAAAATTTCGAATCGTTGCACGCCGAACGATATCGGATTGTTTTTAATTTAAAATTTTTTTTTTTACGTTCGAAAATCAAATTTGAAACCTTTGAAAAATTTGGTACAGCAGTAGTAAAAAAAAAAAAAAATCTTATGAAAAAACATAATAATAATAATGATAATAATAAAAATTAAATTGAAAGAGTGCTACGAGCTAAAAAAAAAAAAAAAACATTTTTTATTACTGTAGGCGTATTATTATCATTATTATTATTTCACGAGTCATCAGCCTAGTTTTTATTTAGAGAAAAAAAAAAAAAAAAAAAGATTTCAAAATGATTATTTTTCCAACATAATTTTTCCCGACTGTTATTTATAAACTCTGTCGTTTCTTCTCTCTCTCTCTCTCTCTCTCTCTCTCTCTCTCTCTCTCTCTCTCTCTCTCTCTCTCTCTCTCTCTCTCTCTCTCTCTCTCTCTCTCTCTCTCTCTCTCTCTCTCTCTAGAAAGAAAACATTATTAAATTTGATTTTTAAAAGGAAAATATTAATAATAATAATAATAATAATAGTCTTTTTTTTTAAACTTAAAATTTTAATTTTACGGTTTTACAATGAGATAATAATAATAATAAAAAGGTGCACGCGAGCCCGAAGCATTTTCATCGGGAAAATGTACAAAAAAAAAAAAAAAAAAATTTTTTTTCTATTATTATTATTATTATTATTTAGGTACAAGACACCTTGAGATATTATTTACCTTGAAATGAAAAAACAAAAATTTGTGACAAAGTAAATTTTCGAGTATTAAAAAAAAAAAAATTTTTTTTTTTTTTTCAAGGTTCGACGCAATAGTAAACAGCTTTTCTAAAACAGGAAAATATAAAATTGGATTCGAAAAAAAAAAAAAAAAAATTTCAAAGAAATAAATCAAACAGAGAAAAATTAAAATAAATCAATTATTATTATTATTATTATTATCAAGTACATTCATATTAATTAATTAAAATCGATTTAAATATATATAAAAAGAAAAATGAAA